CCCGCGGCCTGGGCCCTGTCAAGCCCCCCCCCCTCCACCTGCAGGGAGCGGCAGGCGGGCGGGGGCGCGGCCCCAGGCCCCAGGCCGGTGCTCAGCACCCCCAGCTCTGCGTCCAACCCGCACGTGGCCGTGCCTGCAGGGCCGGAGGCCGCCGAGTGCCTGGTGTGCTCTGAGCTGGCCCTGCTGGTGCTGTTCTCCCCGTGTCAGCACCGCACTGTGTGCGAGGGTGAGTGCGGGCCCCGGGGGCGCGGGGTGAGGAGGAGGAGGAGGGGGCGGCGCGGCCCCGCCCAACGGCGCCCTCCCCCCGCAGAATGCGCGCGCAGGATGAAGAAGTGCATCAGGTGCCAGGTGCTCATCAGCAAGAAGCTGCGGCCAGGTGGGTCGGTGGGCGGGAGGAGCAAACTCGGGTGCCCCCCCTTCCCCTCCCCCCCACCCTCCGGCTCTAACCCCCACGGCCCGCGCCTAATCCCGCCGCAGACGGCACGGAGGTGGCCAGCGCGGCCCTCGCGCCCGGCCCGCCGCGGCAGCTGGTGGAGGAGCTGCAGAGCCGCTACCGGCAGATGGAGGAGCGCATCACCTGCCCCATCTGCATCGACAGCCACATCCGCCTCGTGTTCCAGTGCGGCCACGGCGCCTGCGCGTCCTGCGGCGCCGCCCTCAGCGCCTGTCCCATCTGCCGCCAGCCCATCCGCGACCGCATCCAGATCTTCGTGTAGCCGCGCCCCTCCCTCCTGCTCTGGGGCCACGTCCACCATCGCCCTCGAGAGCCCCCCGCCCCCGTGTTTTATAAAAAGATTCACGAACTTGGCCGCCTGGTGCCTGTCTTTGGGGCGAGGGGCGCGGGCGGGTCTCGGTTCTTCCCGGACAGAAACACCAGCGGTCCCGCCCCACGCCGCTTGGCCCCTCCGCCCCGAGCCCAGCTGTGGCCTGCGCTTCGGCCAGACGTCCGCCTCACGTGTCCTGCCCGTCCCAGGGCTCCTGGGCCCAGACGCCAGCCACAGGCAGAGAAACCTTACGGGTCCAGGCCGCCTCTCGCGACCCCCGGCCCCTCCCCCCTTCCTCCTGGGCGGGTCCTGGAGACGGGCTTGGGCCACAGCAGGGCCGCTTCTTGCTGAGTTCGGGCCCAGGATAAGCAGGGCGGGGGCGGGGCCCGCAGGGTCCAGGAAGAGGAGAGGGCGGGCGCGGGGCGGGAGGGCGGCTTTGTCGGGCAAATACTTAGCCACGCAGAGGGGACGCTGCTCCAGCTGGGCCCGGCGGCAGCGCTTTCCAAGAACCACCCGAGACGCTCCCCCGGAGCCTGGCGGCTGCTCACCAGGCTCTTGGCGCTGACCCCGCTGGCCGGCGCACCACTGTCACTGGGCTCGAGGCCTGGATGGAGAACGGGGAGGGCCCGGACCCTCGGCCTCGTCTGGCCCAGTCCTCCCACCCCTCTGCCAGCCGACAGCCCCCTCCAGCTCCCAGCCCTCTCCTCCCCCCTCAGTCTACGCGCCCCGCCTCCCGGTTCCCCCAGCCGAGGGGCGCCTTTGCCAACACCCTGCCTGGCTGGCCTCACCCGGGCTCAGTCTGAAGGCCGCCCCGTCGAGTCTTCCGGCCTCAGTGTCTCCCACCTCCCACCCAGGACCACTCCGAATTGGGCCCTGCGCCTGGCTCTGCTGGGAGAGAGCCCAATGGGGGATTTCTAGCTCCCTGCAGCCCCTGCCCCTGCGCACCGCACCCCACATCCCTTATGGGGTCCCTCCGCGAGCCTCTACCAGCTCTCGGTGCGACCCCTGCAGATCCCCCCTCTCCTGGCGCCACCCCCAAGCCGCTATCCCGCCTCTCCCCCCTCAGCTGCCCGGACTCACTTGCCACGTCCCTCCCGCGTATCCCCGCCCCTCTCGAGGGGACCCTGCCCGGCCAGCGCCGGCGGGACGTGTCCTGGGCTGGCCTGGTCGGAGGTTCCACGCCTGGGTCTCATTCCGTGTCCAGGGGGTTGGGGATTCCATTGAGGAAAAAACCTCCAGTCACTCAGCCCCAGCCCGTTTGGGGCCCCAACTGACCGTCCCTGCTGGATGCTGAGCCCCTGGCGTCTGTCCCTCCCTGACAGCCGGGTATCTTCTTGCGTCTCTCCCACCCACACCCCCCGCCCCAGCGTCCCCGCCCAGCAGGCCCTGCCCCGGCCACCGATCGGCAGGCCGGGGTCCCGGCGCCAACAGCGGGATGGCCAGCTGGTTCCCTTCAGGGGTGGCCGCCCCCGCCTCCCCACCCCCACGCCGGGGCTGTAATCCGAGCCGCTTCGGCGCCTCCCCCAACTCCTCCCGCGCCTGCGGTCCCCGCAGCCCACGCGCCCGGAGCCCCCACAGCAAGTCCGCAGGCGCCATGGCCCGCGGGGCCTGCGTCCCCTGGGCGTCGTCGGGGGCCCGCGCGCAGGCCGGCTGGTGGGGGGCCGTGCTGGGCGCCCTGTGCCTGCTGCCCGTGCTCCTGCTGCTGGTCCGGCTGGGGGCCCTGCCGGCTGCCCGGCCCGCCTCAAGCGCAGCGCAGGTGAGTCCCTCCCGGCGCCAGGGACAGCGCAGGAGTCCGAGTGTCCTCGCGTCCGCGGCGCCCAGTGGATGGGGGTGGGGGACAGCATCCCTCCAGCTCCGCCTACTCTGACCCGGCTGGTTCTCAAGCCCTTTTCCTTTCGGGCTGTAAAGGCGCTTGGGGTGGAAAATCAGGCAGCGCTCCCCCACCTCCTTCACTCACGCCCGTCTCTTCCTCGCGTTTTGCATCAGGCAGCCCCTGATGCCTCCTCGGAGCACTTGCTTCCTTTGAAGGAAGACGCCGCCGCGCCCCACCCCGCGGGTGTCCTCACCACCCCGGGGCCCGGTCCGCTGCTCCCCCAGGCGCCCCGCAGACGCCGCTACACGCTGACCCCGGCCAGGCTGCGCTGGGACCACTTCAACCTCACATACAGGTGCGACTCTGGCCTGGGGGTGGGGGTGGGGGGCGCGGCAGCAGCCCCGCCGCCAACCCTAACCTTGACCCCCACCCCAGGATCCTCTCCTTCCCGCGGAATCTTCTGAGTCCCAGCGAGACCCGGCGGGGCCTGGCCGCCGCCTTCCGCATGTGGAGTGACGTGTCCCCCTTCAGCTTCCGCGAGGTGGCCCCAGAGCAGCCCAGTGACCTCCGAATAGGTGAGTGCCGCGCCCCCGCCTCCCGCTCCTCGCCCGCCGCCCGCCCCCGCCCCGCCTCAGCCCTGTGCTCCATAGGCTTCTACCCGGCCAACCACACCGACTGCCTGGTGTCCGCGCTGCACCACTGCTTCGACGGCCCCACGGGCGAGCTGGCCCACGCCTTCTTCCCCCCGCACGGCGGCATCCACTTCGACGACAGCGAGTACTGGGTCCTGGGCCCCACGCGCTACAGCTGGAAGAAAGGTGACGGCGGCCGGCCCCCTGGGGGACCCTCCGCACCCTGGGGTCCCGGTGGAGGGCTGGGGGCAGGGCTGGATTTGGGGTGAAGCAGGCAGGGAGGGGGCGGCTGTGAGGAGGCCACAGGCCTGAGTTCCGGGAGTTCTGGGCCTCTAATCCCCACTCCGAGCGGAGCTGAATTCCTGGGGGTGAGCTCACCGCTGCGCGGCCGGCCGGGAACCTCTCATCTGCCCGAGGCTCCTGCCCTGCAGACGGGGGCGCAAGGAAGGGGCCGGGGCGGTGGGCGGCCGGGCCCCAGGCGCTGACCGGCGGGGCCTGCAGGCGTGTGGCTGACCGACCTGGTGCACGTGGCGGCCCACGAGATCGGCCACGCGCTGGGCCTGATGCACTCGCAGCACGGCCGCGCGCTCATGCACCTCAACGCCACGCTGCGCGGCTGGAAGGCACTGTCGCAGGATGAGCTGTGGGGGCTGCACCGGCTCTACGGTGGGTGCCTGCGGCGGCTGCGGGCCGGGGGCGGGCGGGGCGCGGGGCAGGCCCTGAGGCCAGGCCGCCCCCCTGTAGGCTGCCTGGACCGGCTGTTCGTGTGCGCGTCCTGGGCGCGGAGGGGTTTCTGCGACGCCCGCCGGAGGCTCATGAAGAGGTTGTGCCCCAGCAGCTGCGACTTCTGCTACGGTGCGGCCGGTCCCAGCCTGGCCCGGGCGGGGCGGGGCGGGGCGGGGCTGGGCGGGGTGCTGACCGGCCCCTCTCTCCCTCCCTCCCTCCCGCGCAGAGTTCCCCTTCCCCACGGTGGCCGCCACCGCGCCGCCCCCCAGGACCAAAACCCGGCTGGTGTCGGAGGGCAGGAACGTGACCTTCCGCTGCGGCCAGAAGATCCTGCACAAGAAAGGCAAAGTGCAGTGAGTGACCCGGCCGGGGTGAGGGGCGGCGGGCTGGGGTCCCCCCACTCAGCCTCCCCGCCCCCCGCAGCTGGTACAAGGACCAGGAGCCGCTGGAGTCCTCCTACCCCGGGTACCTGGCGCTGGGCGAGGCGCACCTGAGCATCATCGCCAACGCCATCAACGAGGGCACCTACACCTGCGTGGTGCGCCGGCGGCAGCGCGTGCTCACCACCTACTCCTGGCGCGTGCGCGTGCGCCCCTGAGCGCCGGCGCTGATAAAGGTTTTCTCTCTGACGTCTCCGCGCCCTTTCTTGGGGGGTGGGGCCCTCTAGACCTGGCCCCTTAGGATCTGGGGTGCCTGGGGCCAGGCCCAGTCCAGTCAGAGCAGGAGCTGGAGGCAGGGAGAGGCCGTCCCACGTGGGGCCAGAGACCAACCATGTGGTCCCCGACTGTGGGGCCAGGGCCAGCGCAGGGCCAGACACAGCAGCGCTCCCTCCAACATTTCACGGCATCTTGAAAGGTGGAACCACCTCGTACGCAATTCTGCGTGCCCAGCTGAGGGCGCTGGGCTACGGGTGCCCGCTGAGGGCAGGAGGCGCCCACGCAGGAGCCTCAAGATTAGAGAGACTGAAATCACAGCCAGGATCTGACCACGTGCGCGTGTGGCTGTGCCCTCTGCACTGGCTTCCCCTCCTCATGTGGCAAGTGTGATAAATCTGAAAAAAGAGCCTTTTCTTCCACAAGGAAATAAGATTTAATTCTACAAATTTACAAGCCAAGACAAACGAAACATGGAAAACGAGCCCAGCAGTTCGACTTGAGGCCCCTTCGCGGCAGCCCAGGCCGCAGCAGCCTGTCATCTGGGCGGGACGCGGGTCTGGCCACAGGCTGTCGCCGCTCCTGCCCCTGGTCCCGCCGTTTCTGGGGTCCACGCTGAACCTCAGAACTTGAGGCTGAAGCCAGGGCCTGCGGCCGAGGCCCCCTGGTTGGTGGTGGTGAGGTGGAAGCCGGTCTCCTTCAGGTCGTCGTCACCCTGGGGAGCAAGCGGCACCGTGGGGCCCTGGCCGGGCCGGCTAATCCCAGGGACACCCCTCACACCGCCCCCCCCCCCCCCACCTGCCCGCCCCTCACCAGCTGGCTGTAGCCGAGGCCTCCCTCGGGGGGTCTCGGGCTGGTGCCACGCTTCACCCTCTGCTGCTCGCTCTTGGCGGGCCACGTGGGGAACATCGAGGGGTCGATGGGGAGGGGGGTCTCGCGAAAATACTCGTGCTTGAGGCCGTCCTCAGCGCTGACCCTCCGCCCAGGAAAGTAGGTCAGGAACCTGGGAGAACAAGGCGCTTGGAGCCCTGGGCGGGCTGGGAAGGCGCCCCCCCCGCCCCCCGCCAGGCTCACTTGTTCATGAGGTCGAAGCCCTGGTCGGAGAGCAGCGCCCCGAAGCGCTTGCGCAGGTTGTTGTAGGGGTACTCGGTGAAGGTCATCTTCTTCACGGCGGGCAGCTCGTTGTAGCCCGGCCAGATCTTCTCACTGGGCGTCCCCAGGTCCTGAGAAAGGGACGTCTCAAAACAGCCATGCCCAGCAGCGACCCCCCAGCCAGGCCCTGACCCCCCGCATGGTGCCCTGACCCACCTTAAACACTTTGTTGATCTGATCAATCTCTGACTTCCCGGGGAACAGTGGCTTCTGCGTCAGCAGCTCCCCAAAGATGCAGCCCACGGACCACATGTCCACGGCCGTGGAATACTCCTGGGGACAGGGACACACTCAGGGGCCAGCGGGACCGAGCGCAGGGTGGGCAGGCCCCACCCAGCCCAGCACGTACCTTGGCCCCCAGCAGCAGCTCTGGGGCGCGGTACCACAAGGTCACGACGACAGGGGTGTAGGCCTTCAGAGGAGACCCATACTCACGTGCCAGCCCGAAGTCCCCCACCTGCAAGGATAGTGGGGCCGGGAGTGGGTGCCGGGCCGCGCTCACCGAGGCCGGGCTCACCGGGGGCCGCGCTCACCGGGGCCGGGCTCACTGGGGGCCGTGCTCACCGGGGCCGCGCTCACCGGGGCCGGGCTCACCGGGGCTGGGCTCACCTTGAGGATGCCGGCGTGGCTCAGCAGCAGGTTGGAGGTCTTGAGGTCGCGGTGCAGGATCCAGTTGTCATGCAGGTGCTTCACTCCACACAGCAGCTGGATCATCAGCGTCTTCACCTCCCCTGGGGCGAGGGGCACGGTGCTCTCACCCCGAGACGCCCCAGCCCCGCATGGCCTCCCATGCACTCACACACAGCCACACGCACTCACACGCAGGCACACGCACACACAGGCACACGCACACACACATGCACTCACATGCACGCAGGCACACGCACTCGCACGCAGACACATGCACGCAGGCACACGCACTCGCACGCAGGCACATGCACGCAGGCACACGCACTCACACACAGGCACATGCACTCACATGCACGCTGGCACACGCAGGCACACGCACTCACACGCACTCACATGCACGCAGGCACACGCACTCGCACGCAGACACATGCACGCAGGCACACACACTCACATGCAGGCACATGCACTCACATGCACGCAGGCACACGCACTCACACCCAGGCACATGCACTCACATGCACGCAGGCACATGCACGCAGACACATGCACGCAGGCACACGCACTCACATGCAGGCACATGCACTCACATGCACGCAGGGGTCCTATGGGCAAAGGCTGCGGCCCCGCCCGGCTCACCTGGCAGGAACGGCTGCTTCATGGTCTCCATCAGGCTCTTGAGGTCGTGCTCCACATAGTTCATCACAATGTAAATCTTGTCCATGTTGCTGCCCACGACAATCTCCTAGGAAACGAGACCAGGCTGGTGGCCCCCGCGGCCCTGGCCCCGCCTGTGCCCTGACCGCCAGCCGCCCCAGAAGCTGAATCCGAGCAGGCACCAGGCGGGAGCTGGGACCCAGAGTGAGGACTGGGAAGGGCCCGACACGACTGGAGGCCGGGCCTCACTCCTGCGCAGGCCGCCTACCCTGACCGTCACGATGTTGGGGTGCTGCGCCTTGAGAATGGTGTTGATCTCCCTCAGCGACGTGATCGGAAAGCCCTCCTTCTCTTTCTCCATCTTCAGCCGCTTCAGAGCCACAATCTCATCTGAAATCAGTGCCAAGACGGTGCTGACACCTCCCCGAGGGCGTCGGCCAGGACTCGGGTGCCCCGCGGGGAGCTCACACGTTCGAGCGCCAGGAAGCACCAGCCGTGCCCACGCGGACACAAGCCCATTCGCACCAGCCTCCTGGGCACCTGCTGTGACCCCACCAAGCCTCCAGCAGGGACTCGGCTCAGACCCCACTCTGCCCTCCGAGACCCGGCCCAGACTGGGGCGCTGGACGCCCACCCCTGTTCGGGGCCGTCACTCCAGGCTGGGTCCACCCGCCCCTGCTGTCGCAACCAAACAGGAGTCTCCTGGCCAGACTGCCCCGGCCTCTGGAGGTACCAGGGGTTCAGCGGCTCTGAGTGTCACCCCTGAGTCATGCCCAGGTGCAGGCTGGGCAAGGCCAGGCCCCTGCCAACACCAGGGGGGATTCCCAGGATCGCAGGGACTGTGTACCTGTGACCTTGAGGCTGAAGGGCCAGGGCTCAGATCCCAGCTTCCTGCATGTGACCCGGCCTCCCTCAGAGCAGCATGGAGGCCGCTTGGGGATGTGCAGGGCGCGACCACAGACACTCCTCAGGCAACCCCACCCCTGCCCGTCTCCGTCCCCTTGGGGGCCACGCGAGCCCACCCACCTGTCTTCTTGTCCTTTGCTCGGTACACCACCCCATAGGTGCCCTCCTCAATCCTGTTCAGGCACTGGAACTCCTCCACACTGCGGCAGCCCTGCAGGAGGCGCTGGCGTGAGGAGTGGCAGCCCTGGCACAGACACTGACATCTCGGGGGGGGGGGGGGGGCGGGGGGGGGCGGGTGGGGGGGGGAGGAGCAGTTCCCTCCTACCCTTTTCTTCAGTGAGCGCAGGCCCCGCGATGTGACACAACCCAGAGCCGGTCCCAGGCGGACAAGAGCCGGTCCCAGGCCTTCCTTCCCAGCCCCCGGCCTGCCCTGCGCCCCGAGGACAGGAGCACCGGCAGCACCAGCCCCGCCTCCCACCGCACGGGCTCTGCTGGGCCGGAGAAGCCCCCGTGGGTGCGGGGCCCCGTGCAGGGGGCACCATCCCGTGTCACGTGCGGCCAGGGCCTCCGCTCAGAAGCCCCTAAGCAGAGCCGCTAAGGCAGCTGGGATGGCCGAGGGGCCCTGAGCGGGTGGAGGCCTCAGTGGGGTTGCCACTCACCCCTCCTCCCCGAGCCCCCCCGCGGTGCCCCCGTTACTGGTATTTTCCCAAACAGAAGATGCACGCTGCCTCCTGCAGGCCTTACGATCCCGCACACACTGGGCAAGGCCCCGGGAGAGGTGACCATTGAGCCCGCCTCACCCGGCTGCCTGCCTTCCACACGCCCGGCTGTGGCAGGGCCTTGGGAGCTGCGGGCAGAGGCTAGACCACGACCAGGGGCACAAAAGAGGCCAGTGGCCGAGCCCGGCGCGATGGTCACTGCGCTCAGGACAAACCCCCGCCCCGGGCTCTGCTCCCCCCACCCCCACCCCCACCCCCTCACGACCAGAGAAGGAGCCAGCGGGCGGGGCGCCTGACCTGCAGGGCGGGCAGGTACTTGGGCAGCTCCTGCTTGAGCTCGATGGGTGACAGGGCTGGGGATTCGGGCACGAACTCGCCTTCGGTCAGGGCGGTGCTATGGGGGGTGCCCTCGCCCACCTCTTCCTCCCCTTCTTCGCTGTCCGCGGAATCTCGGTCGAATCGTGACTCTGGAACTTCCATGTTTAAACCAATCATGGAACCGGGAATGAGCCACTGTCACAAGCCCCTTCCTGGTCTGGGGGTGGGAACACCAAGAAGCCACACGGCAGCAACCCCAGGGTGCCTGCCACACGAGCTGCTCCCCTGGACAGAGGGCACCTGGGCCTTGGGGCCCGCCAGCCGGGCCACGGCCACAGCCACTGTGAGCCACTGACCAGACGCTGAGCTCTGAGGAGGCAGCCCTGGAACTCACAGGCCCAAGGGCTCAGCGTAGCTGCCTGTGGCCATGCCGGCCCGTGTGGCCTGTACCCACCAGCCACGGACCCGAGCTGTCCCCTCGCTCCCCCGCGCTGAGGCCGGGCACTCAGCTAGCACGGTCCCTGCAGCCAGTGCTGCGTGGGCCCAGGTCTCAGCAGGCAGCCCAGCCCCGGGACAAGGCCAGCCCAGGAACGCCCTGTGGCTTCGGGCCGGCACGCCTGGGAGAACGGTTTTGAATACGTTGCCATAGTCAAGCTCACAACTTTTGAGAAGTTCTCACCACACTTAGGGACGGACGAGGAAGAGAAACGATGCCAGGGAGGCCTCTTACCAACGAGGATGTGGTTCTCAGCCTCTCGCTCTTCGTCTTCACTCATTTCTTCCTCACTCACCTCCTCTGCAAGAGAGCAGCGTCCACCCAGTGTCCCCCCGCCCGGGAGTGCCCCCCGCAGGCTCTGGGTCTGCTCCTTCCAGGGGCCTCGTGTTAGTCCCAGGCAAGACGTTTTCCATTTGGAAGTTTTTTAAAAAACCAGACTTTGCCCGGTGGATAGAGCATCGGCCTGTGGACTGCAGAGTCCTGGGTTCGATTCTGGCCAAGGCACGTAAATTGGTTTCAGGCTGCTCCCCGGCCCAGGGCAGCATGCAGGAGGCAACCAATCGATGTGTTTCTCTCACATCAATGTTTCTCTCTCTCTTCCACACTCTCCCTAAAAATCAATGGGAAAATATCATTGGGTGAGGATTAACAAAAAAATAAAATAACGAAAGTTTAAAAAACAAATTAGACTTCTAATTATCTTTCTGTCATTCCCAGGACTCTATCCAAATACACAATTGTGTGCCCTGGACGGGTGGTCAGTGGTTAGAGCACTGTCCCCATACCCCAAGGTTGCAGGCTTGAACCCATCATGGCACATGCAAGAATAAGCATAAATAAGAGGAACAAGTTGATGTTTCCCTCTCAAATGAATAAGTAAATCCCATCTAATAACAGCCTAATATGCAAATTGACCGAACAGTGGAAAGACAGGTGGAACAACCGGTCGCTATGACCCACACTGACCACCAGGGGGCAGACGTTCAACGCAGGAGCTGTCCCCAGCCTGCAGGCCCCAGACCAGCCAAGGCAGGTGCCAGTGATGGCCCCCCCTCAGCCTCCCCCCCATCACCCTGCAGATGGGCCCTGATCGCCGGCCAGGCCTAGGGACCCTGCCCATGCAGTTTCATGCTCTGGGCCTCTAGCAAATACATAAAATGGGTTACAAAAACCACACACGTGCCCTGCGCTCTCACCTGCCGACTGTCCAGACGCGTCCTCAGAGTTGCTCCCGGTCTCCTCCTCTTCCTCCTCCTCCTCCTCTTCCTCCTCCTCCTCCTCCGATTCTTCACTGCTGCTCCCCTCCTCCTCCTCCTCCTCCTCCTCCTCCTCCTCCTCCTCCTCCTCAGAGCCTGACCCTGATTCCGCTGTAGGCAGCAAACAGCAGGAGTGACCCTGCGGCCCTCCTGAGCAGCAGGGCATCGGGGCTCGGCCGGGAGCGCGGCTACCTGAGGAGGACTCGGCCGAGCTGGTCTTCCGCTCGTTGTCGCTGATGTCTTGTAGGTCAGACAGCAGGTCTCTCTCTTCCATCTTCTCTTCTTTCACTTATGAAGCAAACCACCAAAGGTGAGTGCAGGGAAATACTCTGTAAATCAAAGACTGACACCAGAGGCCCCAGCAGGCACTGCCGGCCTCACCTGGCTTCCGGCCGTCTCCCAGCTCAAACCTCTCCCGCGGGGGCCGGGGCGGGCTGCGGCTCCAGTGGCTGGCCTTCACTTTATCGCCGTAGTCCTCGCGCATGGCTCGGTGATGCGCAGAAACTGGCAGCCAGCACAGAACAGGAGACCACGTTGGCAGCAGCCTCTTCCCACCAGGGCCACCCCCACCCATCACCCCGCTCCCCTGCTGAGGGCGGACGTGACCTCTGGACACACTTGCTAATGGCGGCCGGGCAGAGGCTAGAAGCCAAGGGAAGAAGCTCCGACCTGGAGGCCAGGAGCCGGCCCCGAGGATCCAGGTGGCCCCCCAGACCCACCAGGAAGGGCCGGGAATCACCCCTCAGGCCTGAGCTCCCACCTGTGGGCAGCAGGGGCACCGGACACGGACACGCTGTCAAGCGCCAGGCGTGCGGTGGCCCCTGGGGTGCAGCCCCCACCCCCGCCCCCCGCTGACGGGCCCCTGCCCCCTGCCCCCCCCAGCGCACCTTCCCTGCGGGCCTCCCGCTCCTTGCGCCGCTCCTCCGCGCGCCGCTCCCGCTCCTTCTGCTCCCGCTGCTCCTTCTGCTGCTCCCGCAGCTTGCGCTCCCGCTCCCGCTTCCTTTCCAGCTGCTCCAGACGGTCCCTGCAACAGGCACGTGCCAGCTCCTTCCCCAGGAAGGGGGTTTTTACCCTCCCGCCTGTGCTTCCGCTCAGGTTTGTAAGTTGTTCCATCTGTGCAGAGCGTCTTAAAGGCAGAACGTGTGCGCAAGCACGTCCGGAGGAGGCACCCCAATAGCACAGCCGAATGAAGAGCTGGGACACGGAGGCAGGCCTGCTAGGAACAAACCCGCTGGTTCTGGAATGTTCCACATTCCCGGTCACCAGGCCTAAGATGCCCCAAGACTCTCCCAAGCATGTGTCACAGCCCTGGCTACATCCACCTGCACACGGGGCGTGTCTCTGAGGCTACAGGGTGACGGTGGGAGCCGGGGGAAAGCCGCTTCCAGGCGAGGTGCCATTTGAGCACAGGAAACACTAGTGACCGAAACACGTGTGGTGGCTGCACCATAAGGCGGTCAGATAGTGAGCCGTGATCACAGGCGACTCCCACAGCTCTCGTAAGTCCACACACAACCTAAAAAGCTAGCTCATCTTTATAAAAAAGTACCATCAGACGCCCACAAAAATGAGCACAAGCAAAACACGGCGAGAACCAGTCAAGGCCCGCGGCCGTCACCAGCCCGGGGCCAGTGCTGCCCGAGCGGCCGTCACCACCCGAGCGGCGGGACAAAGGGTCCCGGACTCCAGGTGCCGCTCTGTAGCCGCCTGGGCCCGGCCTAGTTCAAGGTAACGCTGGGGCATCATTCACAGGCGACATTCAGCCACTGAACCCACTGTTTCATCCACGTAAGAAACCACGCAGCCCTCACCAGTCAGTGCTAAAACCTCCGCCACCCTGCCCGCGCCAGGCCCACCGCGCGGCTCTGCGTCTGCTCAGACTCCCTGGGCCTTTCGCCGCCGCTGCTTTGGGCTGTTTGCTTTTCTCTTTCCTAGTTTTTGGAGGTGGACGCTTGGTGACTGACTGGACACCTTCCTTTTCTGACATCAGTGCTTCGAGCCAAGGCTTTCCCTCGAGGCAGCTTTAGCTGCACCCTGGGTTCTGACATGGTTTTTGTTTTCACTCAGAACAGTTCCTATTTTTCTTATATAATTTCTTCTTCGGGCCACAGGTTATTCAGAAATGGTTGTTGGGTTTCCAAACGTTTGGGGATTTCCCTTTGTTGCTGACTTCCACCTTAATTCTTGCATGGTGAGAGGGCACACTAGGTATGCTTTCAATTCTCTCAAGTCCCAAGTCTGTTGTATAGCCTTGCGTACAGCCTGTTGGGAACTGTCCCAGGAGCTCCTGCAGTGAGTGTGCTCTGCAGCGGCAGGGGGGAGGCTGAGCCCGCGGGAGAGGGGTGGTTGGTGTTATTTTCCAGGACGTCCGTGACCTGGTTGATTTTCTGTCCTGCGACGAGCAGACATTTCCAACGGGGACCAGCTGTTCTTGGCTTGTGCGCCTTGGGCTCTCGCAGGTGCAGAGCTTGACCGCTGTCCCACCTCTGCCCTGATGTGCGCGTGCAGCTTGCTGTTCTGAAGGCCTCTGCTCTGTCACTGGGAAGCCACTCCAGCTCTCCGTGGTGCTGTCTGCACGGTGTGCCTCTCACCAGCCTTTTCCGTTCAACCCACTTTTGCCTTTGACTCTAAGGTGTTCCCCTCACAGGCAGCATACAGTTGGGTCTTACTTTTCTGACAATCTCGCTGTTGTCTGGGGTACAGAGACCATGTCCCCGTTAATATAACTATGGGTATGGTTGGACTTCTGGTTTTTTTGCTCCTTGTTTTCTCTGTCTTCTTCTGGTTCCTCTGCTCCTCTGACTTGGACTTAAGTGCCTTTAGCGCCACTGTGATCCTGCTCTTACTCCTCGGGTCTGTGCCAGGGCTCTCGGGTGCAACTCACGAGATTAACACCAAGTCCATTCCCGCGAGACAGAGCAACGGCTCCAGGCCCCTTCCCTGCTCCTCTGTGCAGCCTCTGCGTGTTCCATGCTGCACGAGTGTCTGCGTAATTGCTGCTCTGCAATCCCGTGTCTTTTGCAGAACAGAGGTGAGAAGAAACACACCGGTTCCTTTACGTGAACACACTTTCGCCGTTCCCAGTGCTTGTCTTTTCTTCCTGTGGATTTGCTGCCGAATGGAGTCATTTCCATTCGGCTGAAGGTCTTGGAGTAACTCCAGGTCCTGCTAACCCAGTCCACGTGCACCTGAGAGCCGTCTTGCGGGACACAGTCCTCGTGGACAGCTTCTCAGTGTGAACATGCGATCCTGCCTCTGGCCTCCCGCGCCGGCAGCCACCCGGGACCGCAGCTCCTCCTCTGTGGAGACAGACAGCGTCTCTACTGCTGCCTCTCAAGACCTCCCCGCCGGCTCTCGCCAGACGGACCCCGTCTTTCTGTTCTTGGGGTTCACTCTTTTTGGAAATCTCGACGATTCTCATCAGATTTGGGAAGTCTCACTCCGTGGCCTCTGCTGCCCGGGTGGCGTCACCGGGAACGTCCTGCAGTTGCTGAGGCTCTGCCGTTCCGAGCAGCTGCCTGCCATCCGCCTCCCTCACGGCTTCCTCTCTCTTCTGAAGCCAAGAAGCTACATCTGGACAGTTTCTACTGATGCTTTTCTTCCTTAACAGGAGTCACACTTTCTGATTTCCTTGTACATCTCAAAAAGTTCTGTTCAAAGTGGACATTTTAGATAATGTTGTAGCAACTCTGGATTCTAACGTGTCCTCTCAGGTGTCGCTGTTTGTTTAAATCTGTGGACTCGGTCTCCCGTGCAGTGTAGCTACTGCTGTTGTCCATGTTCCTTTTGTTTTCAAGCCTGGCTCCAGTAGGGTGTGCACAGCTGTACGATCAGCCCACACGGGACAGTCAGCACAGGTATGGCAAGCACGGATGTTTCACATGCTACCCACGCACCAGACACGGTGAGGGATGTGCTCGCCTCTCAGGGGTCTCAGACCTTTACCTCCTGGCCTCAGCTTCTCCCTCCACCAAGGCTCTTCTCTCACACCTTCCTTAGATGCCTGCTCCGTGCAGCCCGTGCTGCCGGGATGGGAGCCCATCTACCTGCTTCCTGGCCTCACAGCAGGCTTTCTCTGGAAATGACCTCAGTGCAGAGTGGCCCTAGTTTACACCCACATCTACTGTGCCGTGGCCATGTCACGCCCCACCTGGCACAAGTCTGTTCTAGATGCTTTTTCACAGCTTTGGTGGGACGCTGACCATCACAAGCACCGACAGCCCCGCACGAGCACGCCCGCTACCTCTCTCTCCTGGAGTGCTCTCTGGCCATCTCCCGCCTCTTCTGCCTCTCCCACTCCCGGCGTGCCTTGTCTTGCTCCTCTCGGTGCCGCTTCCGCCGCTCATGCTCTCGCTCCTTCTCCTTCACTCTGGCGTGCTTGCCTGCGAGAGAGAGAGAGAGAGAGAGAGAGAGAGAGAGAGAGAGAGAGAGAGAGAGAGGTGTGACACGTGAAGAAACATACCTTGCGAACACTTATGTGGAAATGTAAAGCGAAGAAAAAATAAACAACTGGGATTACTTAATTCAGTGGAACCTCGCTTCCTGAACTTTTCATTCATTCATTCTGGAAGGCTGCTTGAAAACCCAATCATTTTTTCCCATTAGGAATCGTGTAATCAATTCGTTCCAGACCCCCAAATGATGCCGTTTTCATCTTTCTTATATACAGTACCTGTCTACTGTACTGTTTAATCTATAAAAGGAAACACTAAAAACAAGGATGTGAATGTAAATGAAAATTTAACAAAAAGGAAAGGAAATGTACAGTAAAAAAATTAACAATTATAAGCAGCAACATGAGCAAAAAGCCACAAAAATGTTCACAGCACAATATCCTGAAGATGATAACAGGGTTAAAGTGACCCATATTCACTTTGTCACCTGAGAGATGCAAGACTGATCATATAGGTTCAGCATGAAGGGCTGTCAGGTTGAGAAGCAAATTATTCGAGATGAGACATTGGACAAACGAGGTTCCACTGTATTCTTAAAATTTTCTGTGTTGAATAAACTATGATGAGACTGTATATGTTTCCATAATTTAAGAAGTCACCATTCATACAGCACAGAGGACGAAGCTTGGCTCTGCTAAGTGAGGGCCCACGAGCCACACAACCACGCTCACCACCTGCGTGTGAACTACTGAGCCCTGCCTCACGCCAGGCGGCAGCTCCTGGTGACGGTGGGAGCAAAGCCACTGCTTGGGCTTTTTAGCTACCGCAATTCAGCACTGAACAGCGTGCTTCTCCCCGCGCTTGTGAATCTTCTACGTAAACTACCACAAAACAGCGTCATGTCAGGAAAAAGAACGGCCAAAGGAAAATGAAGCAGCTTTTCAGAATGATTTACAATAAATTTACGATTTAGCTACAATTTCACTTTCTCTCCGAATCTTTCCACTGTTTTCTGAAGGCAGGAGGCTATGAACTAGGAAACAGACCACACTTGAACACGACACAAAAGAAAAATGCTCTGTACCCCCTTCTGCTGAATGACTACGATGCCTACGTTTCTCTTTTCTCTTCTCATCTTTCCTGTGATGAGCTTTTTCTTTCCGGGACATTTGCTGGGGTGGTTTGATAGCCAAAGAGTCGTCTTCCTCTCCTCTGAAATAAGACACAAGAGGCCACATCAGGCCAAGCAGGTCACGGAGAGCACCGGGTGTGAGGGAGTGTCTCCAACCAGAAGGCAGAACGCAGATGATCAATAAAATGGAATCGGAACCATCATTTAAAAATTATGTTAATGATGAAACTTAGCCAAGACTGTAAACTAAATGGACTCATATGAAAAGTGTGAGAAATCACTGTGGCATTGGAACAAAAATGCCTGAGGAAACGTTAGGGGGTGATGGACAAGTTCCTTATCTTGACATAGTTTCCCATGCGTGCAAAACTGTCACACTGCGTGTAAAACTGTCACACTGCGTGCAGAACTGTCACACTGCATGTAGAAATGTCACACTGCGTGCAAAACTGTCACACTGCGTGTAGAAATGTCACACTGCGTGTAGAACTGTCACACTGTGTGCAGAACTGTCACACTGCGTGCATAACTGTCACACTGCGTGCAAAACTGTCACACTGCGTGCAGAACTGTCACACTGCGTGCATAACTGTCACACTGCGTGTAGAAATGTCACACTGCGTGCAAAACTGTCACACTGCGTGTATAAATGTCACACTGCGTGCAAAACTGTCACACTGCGTGCAGAACTGTCACACTGCGTGCAGAACTGTCACACTGCGTGCAGAACTGTCACACTGCGTGCAAAACTGTCACACTGCGTGAAGAACTGTCACACTGAGTGAAGAACTGTCACACTGCGTGCAAAACTGTCACACTGCGTGTAGAAATGTCACACTGCGTGCAAAACTGTCACACTGCGTGTAGAAATGTCACACTGCATGCAAAACTGTCACACTGCGTGCAGAACTGTCACACTGCGTGTAGAAATGTCACACTGCGTGTAGAAATGTCACACTGCGTGTAGAACTGTCACACTGCGTGCAAAACTGTCACACTGCGTGCAGAACTGTCACACTGCGTGTAGAACTGTCACACTGCGTGCAGAACTGTCACACTGCGTGTAGAACTGTCACACTGCGTGCAGAACTGTCACACTGCGTGTAGAAATGTCACACTGCGTGTAGAAATGTCACACTGCGTGTAGAACTGTCACACTGCGTGTAGAAATGTCACACTGCGTGTAGAAATGTCACACTGCGTGTAGAACTGTCACACTGCGTGCAGAACTGTCACACTGCGTGCAGAACTGTCACACTGCGTGCAGAACTGTCACACTGCGTGTAGAACTGTCACACTGCGTGCAGAACTGTCACACTGCGTGTAGAAATGTCACACTGCGTGTAGAAATGTCACACTGCGTGTAGAAATGTCACACTGCGTGTAGAAATGTCACACTGCGTGCAAAACTGTCACACTGCGTGTAGAAATGTCACACTGCGTGCAGAACTGTCACACTGCGTGCAGAACTGTCACACTGCGTGTAGAACTGTCACACTGCGTGCAGAACTGTCACACTGCGTGTAGAACTGTCACACTGCGTGCAGAACTGTCACACTGCGTGCAGAACTGTCATACTGCGTGTAGAAATGTCACTGTGCAAAACTGTCACACTGCGTGTAGAACTGTCACATTGCGTGTAGAACTGTCACACTGCGTGTAAAACTGTCACATTGCGTGTTTTAAACGTGCAGTTTATTCTGTCATTTATACCCCAATAAAGCTGTGTTTAAAAAAGGCCCCACCGTTTTAATCAAACCCAAAGTCATTTAACAGTATCTTCAACCGCCTATCTGACCACCATCTTGGGAGCGTCACAGCCTGTGCGGTTCTACCTTCTTTTCGGGTCACGTTGCCTTTAGTGAGAGAGGGATCCGAGGAGGACACAAGTGGAGACTGGACAGGGAGCCGCGGGAACACGGACCGGAGCCGCTGCCCGGCCTCTGCAGACCTCAGCCGGCAACGCCGAGACCCCAGCCGAGTCCTCACGCCTGCGAGTGCAGGGCCGACTGAGGCATCAGCGAGAAAAGTCTTCCCACAAGAAGGGGGTGCGGAGCGGACACCACGCTGGAGCCCTTTCCACGGTGACCCCAGGACCGCCGGCTGGGCCCCGTCCCTCTGTCCAGTGCCCAGCGCCTGCGCTCACCGGTCCTCCATGGAGTCCTCCCTCCTGTAGGGCGAGTTCCGGATGGTGATCTCCATGCGGTGGTCCCTCAGCTCCCCCTCCTCCAGGGAATCCCGCTTGGAGTCGCGGTCATCAGACTGCGGAGCAAGGACAGCGTCGCCCTCAGGCAAGAGCAGCCCAGACCCAACCCCCCACACGCTGGCGAGCTTCCCTTAGGAACATCACTAAGGTTTTACACCAAAATGCAGAAAGACTTCCATTCAAGCCCCCAGACACCCAAACCACGACTCTAACGCAGAGCCGGGGGAAGCTAAACCGGCGCATGTGACGGGCATCGGCCTCCGCCAGGGACCTGACTGCTCAGGCGCCAACCGAGCCTCACTGCGGCCCGGGGGCTGCGACCCATCTCATCGGAGAGCCCCGATCGCGCCCCCGATGCCGCTATTGCACCCCCGATCGCACCCCCATGCCCTGATCGCGCCCCCGATGCCCCCTCCTTGCGCCCCTGATGCCCCTATCGCGCCCCCGATGCCCCCTCCTCGCGCCCCGATACCCCCTCCACACCCGGGGGGGGGGGGTCTGTGGATGTTGCTATGCAAACCAGGGAAGCCGCCAAGCACGGGTCGCGAGGGCCAGGCAACCCCCCGCCCCCGCCCTGATGCCCGGGGAGGGTCAGAGGTGCCGATCAACAGCGAGGAAAGCCAGGCGCCTCGCCCTGGGCTGCGGGGCGAGCTGCCTCCGCGGGCGCCGGGGTCTGAGCGCGGTGAGCGGAGGAGACGGGGCTCACCTGCGACATTCGGAGGAACAAAGAACGTCGCCCAGGAGCGCTGCTCTAATGGAAAAACGAGGGCAGAGAATTAAACCTCCGTGAGAACCGACTGAGAGCGCGGCTTACGTTTTTCAGGCGCTTGATCTCCGCCTTCTCCTCCTGCTCCTTCCGGCGCTTCTTCTCCTGGAGGATCTCATCCAAGGTCTTCACTTTCCAGGAGTCCTTTTCATCACCCATTGGAGGAGGCTCTGCGGGGGGCGGGCCGTCAGCGCGGGCCTCCCCGCCACCCGGCTCGGGCCGCCGCGCCCGGGTCCCGGTCCGGGTTCGGCAGGAGCGGCCCGCGGGCCTCGCGTTCCCGGGGGAGGGTCCGGCGGGGGGATCGGGGAGCGCGGTGCCCGCCGCCGCCTCGGCCTCAAGGCCCTCGCGGGCGGGCGGGCGGGCGGGACGAGGGAGCGGGAGCGGCGGCTACTCACCCCTGCGCCGTCGCCGCCGCCGGTCCGGAGCCTGAGGAGAAACTGCGCCCAGCGCGCCGTTACTTCCTGCGTCGGCGCGGGGTGATGACGTCACGGAGACCGCGGCCGCAGGTTCCGGCCGGAGAACGGGCCCTTGTGCGTCACTTCCGGCCTCGGCGCGGTCTGATGACTGGCGGTGGAGCCAGTCCGGGCGCCGCGCCCGTCGTCCCTCGCGGCCTGGCCGCCGGGTCCCCCCCGCCCCCCTCGCCCGCCCGTGGGGTCCTCCGCGGCGGCGCCGACCGAGCCCGCCGCCCTCACAGCCGGGCCGCCGAGCCGCGGTTGGAGCGAAGCGCGCTGCGCCGGGCTGAGGGCGGGGGCTTCCGGGCCAGGGACCGGCGCCGGCCAGCGGTTCACGCCCACATCCGAAAGCAATTTAAAAAGCGGGGGGCGGCCCTGGCCGGTTCACTCAGCGGATAGAGCATCGCCTGCGGAGGTCCATTCCGGTCACGGGCACACGGGGTGGCCGCCCAGTCCCCGTCGGGGCGCAGGAGGCCGCCATCGCGATGTTCGTGCGGCTCCGGCTGAGACCGAGCTGTGCCCCGGTCACCGCGCACCCCCCCCCCCCCATCATCGGTGTCTCTCTCCTCCCTTCCTCCCCGAAATGACGAATATTTTTGAAGGGGGGCGGGGAGGGGGGACACCCACAACACTCCATTAAAACGGAAAAAGCACGGCCAGCAGAGCTGCCCAGGCCTCGGCCCAAGCCCCGCTGCTCGGTGCCCGCGGGCCCCGGTGCCCGGACGGGGTATTTTCTCTCGGAGGAAGCGCTTGCCGCTGCGCCTGGCAGTGCTCCGCTCCGGGGGCCTTGGGGACAGGAAGCCATTTGTCACTGGGGTGCCCGCAGCAGGGCTGTCCTCCCGGCCGCACAGACCCATCACCAATGCAGGCGGCGAGCACACGCGGGGCTTTTATTTACTTTTTAGAACGAGAGTCAGATGTGGCTGCGGTGGCAGCTTCATGTGGACAGAGGACAAGGGCACCACAGGTGAACACGTTACCACAGGTGGAGGGACAGGGACTGGCCTCCTGAACCACCACGTTGTCTGGTCCCGTAAAAACCCAAACAGGCGAAATACAAAGCACTGGACACCCGGGGCTCCGTTTGGCAGAAAACAGGTGGCTTGGCTCTGATGTCCAGGGTTATTTTCGTTCATTCTCGTCTCCCAGTGTGGGGAACCGGACCAGCCCTCCCAGCTGGAGCCCACAACACCGGGCAGGTTCAGACAACTCAGACAGCAGGTCCGCAGTGGCAGCTTTCCTCCAGTGAAAACGGCGGGGGTGGGGGGGGCCAAGCCCAGACACACACAGACTTTGCCAGTTAGAACAGCCTGTAACCCAGTGTGGACATCTGGGCATGGGTCCCGGGGCCACCACTCAGAACCAGAGCCAGCGGGCTGAAGGTTTTATGTTCCGGCTGCCAGGCGAGCAGCTGACCCGTCTGCTCTCGGCTCCTCGGCCAGAACAGAAAGAAACGGACTCCTTGGGACGCTGGGGCTTCTAAGAAGACGAGAGGCCCCACCAGGGCAGGTACACGTTTTGGGAAAGAAAGTCCTCAACACGTTGTGCGAAGGCAGAGGAGAGGGTTTCCACCGGAATGACCTCCTTCACGTTTCCGGCCCAGGGAAACGGCGAGAACACCGTCAGGCCTGAGGAAGCGTGTCACCAGGACAGACATCAGGCCAGGCTCCGTGCCCGTCACCCCCTGGCCCGTCTGAGTGACCGACCATCCACAGGAGGCTCAGCAGGAAGCAAAACCACTGGTTTGGGGAGAAGCGTGTCGGGCGCGGGCCACAAGCCCGGCTCCAAGTGGTGACATGCTTTGAGCAGCACATTTTTCCTGTTTCCTGTTCATCATGTTTATTCTTTCTCAAATTAAAGCCACATTTGGGTTGTGCAAGGACGTCATCAGCTTTCTAAGGCGGACGACTCACACTGCTCTGCAGAAGCGATGATACTGGAACTGAAAACAAGAGGCTTTCTATGCTGTTCAGTAGCGGGCGTTTTGAAAGCCAGAGATCTGGACGCGTCTCGGAATCACTGGTTCCAGTGTGTGTTTACAAAGGCACAGACAACCACAGACACAGGCATGACCAATGGATGACGACTCCCAGTCATCGCTGGTGCACACACCTGAGACCGTTCAGCGAGGAGAACATACGATAAAAATGAGACAGTTCATTAAAGACACATCATGTCTGCACAGTCCTTAAAAGGCCGAGCGAGGCTGTGGCTGTGACTCCTGGCGACGATCGGAATGGAGACTTAGAGGTGGAGACGAGACTAACGGGAGGAGTGTCAGCCCCGACCGGAAGTCTCCAAAGCAGCTTTGCAGGAAGTTGCCTCATTTACTAGTAACCTTCATCTTGTTTGTGGTCCAAAATTCAGAAAATCAAAACCGGCTGAAGCCACTGGAGAGAGTGGAGGGTGGGGCATGTCATGGGCCTCGGGACCGGAATCCCTGACAAGACGGGGAGACTGCGGCCATGGCTCCGACGACGGATGACAGAGTCTGCGGGAAGGCCCAGGCGACCGTCCTGCCTGGGCGGCCACAGGTGGCCCTTCTCTGTTCACGTCCCACTGTCAGGGGCCGGGGCAGCAGTGCTTTCACGCTGGTCCTCACAGATCAACTCGACATCTCTCCCCGGCCACCGGCAGGGGGTCCTCCTTAGCCGAGGTTTTCAGGGATGCAGAAAAGGAGGAAAGAGGACAGAATCCTGGGGAGGTCGCAGAAGCGTCCAGTGAGGGAGAGCGTGCCAAGCAGGCGGCCACACCTGCCTGTCCTGCGGACTCGGGTCAGCTCCATGGAAAGGCTGTGTAGTTTAAAAGGCCTCGTTGACTTCACCACATGGCAAACGTTTTCAAGTCGGCAGGACTTCATGAGACGTGATTATTGCTCTTTGTTTCCAAGAGGCCTGGTCTCCCCAAGAGGCTCTGTTCACATTTCCAATGAGAAGCCATCGGGAAGCCAGGGGCCTGGACAGCATGAGGGAGACGCGACCGGAAGGCGGCCTCACGCTCCTTTTCTCAGGGAGCCCAGTCCCTGCAGGCGGGCTCCTGGGTGGGGCCAGACCTGCTCACCCAGGAGGGCGGCTTCTGACAAGCCCCAGGGCTCAGTAGCGCTGGTCAAAGGCGTGAAGGAGGAGCCTCGAAGGCTGGCTGGCATGGGCTGTGAGATCTCTCCATCAGCACCAAGCAGGGAGCGCTCACAGTGGCACCGGGACCCAGCTCTGGATTCACAGTTGACCCCTCTGTGGGGTGTCGCCCACAGAGGAATCGGGGCTGGGCCCACTGCAGTGCGACCTGCGTGCCCAGTGAGGGCCATGCAGAGGCCGGCGGGTCCCAGGCCTCCGCGTCTGGCACGGGGGCCGCAGGAGGCAGTTTCACATCCCCTGGCGATGGCTCAGCGGCAGCTGGACTTGGTCAGCCCTCAGGGAGCCAATGTCGGGGGTCCCCATTCACATTCCCGCTGGTTTTGACTGAAACCCCAGAAAGGGGCGAGAATGGCCACACATGCACTTTCCTACTCCAGCTGACCAGGGGGGTTAGGCAGCGAGGGCAGGGGACCACATAGGCAGGAGGGCAGCCATGTGCGCCTCGAGGCCCTGGTGCCGGCGAGGCCCTGGCGCTCAGTGGTGCGGCCTGGGATCCTTGGGCACCAGTGGCTCCGTGCCGTCCTCCGGCGTGCAGCTGGCTGAGGCCAGGCTCTGCATGGCCTCCCGCTGGTGCTGCCTGGCCTTGTTGTAGAGCAGGACGCCCGCCATCACCAGGACGGTGCCCATGGCCGACAGGCTGGTGATTTTGTTGCCGAAAATGATAATACTGAGCCAGATGGACAGGGCGTGCTTCACGGTGCTGGCGACACTGCAAGACAGGGGGTTGTGCACATGGCTCCCGGCCCAGGTGGCTGTCGAGCACTTACTGCACTCGCTGGGCCCGATTCAAACAGACAGAGAGGAGGACGGGCCCCAGAGTGGCCCGTGGGTACGCCTGGGGGACACTGAGGCTGCGGCAGGTGCGGCGCCATCGAGCCCTCTGTTGTCCTCACTGGGGACAGTCCCACTGTGGTGACCGCTCAGCCGTTACAGGAAAGAGGTGGACGCACACCACGTGACGTGGCCAAGCTGCCGACCACTGCTGGAGTTTCTAGCTCATTCTTTTCTGTTTGTTACTGAAATAGTACTTTTATTAAATCCATCCTATATAATAAAAGGCTAATATGCAAATTATCCCCTCAGGAGTTCAACCCAGAGACCAGGAGTTCGATCGCTCGCTATGATGTGTGCTGACCACCAGGGGGTGGTGCGGAACATGGCGGGGGACCAGCAGGCAGGGAGGAGGAGGCGGGGAGGTGGGGAACCTGATGGGCCCTGATCTCCGGCCAGGCCTACGGACTTTCCCCGTGCACAAGTTTTGTGCACCGGGCCTCTAATCCAGTTATAAAAGTGAAAACCGGCTAACCAGACCTTTAACCCCTCCAGGTTCCCAGAGGCGGTGGTCGCATGCAGTATTCACAGGTAAGTGGATGGAAGTCAGTAAAAGCAAGAAGTCAGGTCTGCATTGAGCTCACACAGTACAGGTGCTCGCAGCCACCAGGGCCCACAGCGCCCAACCGCTGACCGCGCTGCTCTAAGCACAACAGACCCACCCAGTGGCAACCTCCCTAAAAATCTCAGCCCAGCTGGGCATGGCTCAGTGGTTGAGCATTGACCCAGGAACCAAGAGGTCACAGTTTGATTCCCGGTCAGGGCACATGCCCAGGTTGCAGGCTTGATCCCCAGTAGGGGGTGTACGGGAGGCAGCCAATCAGTGATTCTCTCTCATCATTGGTGTTTCTCTCCCTCTCCCTTCCTCTCTGAGATCAATAAAGATTTAACTAAAAAAAGAAAAGCGCTCTTTCTTTCACACACTTCACGCGTGTTTCAAATGGCACCAAAGGCAGCGGCCCGCCACCGTGCCCCGGGGCCTCGGCCAGCGCCTCAGCACTTGGCACTCACAGACCTTGAGGCTGCGGCACCAGCCAGGCAGACACCTGTCCTACCTGAAGGTCACGGGGGAGATCCTGCCCATGAGGGCGTAGGCCGTGACGCTCTGCAGGTGGAACAGGACGCCGTCCATCAGCAGCAGCAGCACCACGTCCTGCGTGTAGCTGAAGCTCCTCCCGCTCCTCCCGACCACCGGCAGGTCCTGGTGCGGAGCAGAGCGGAGCGGTGCCCGTCACCGGAGGACCTCGTCCCACGTGCCCAGCCCCCGGGGCCCACGAGCTGAGGCTGAGGCCGCTGGTGAATCCTGCCTTCTGGGTGGCGACCGGACGGCATCGACCAGGCACGCGGCCAGTGCACTCGGTCTCCAGGGAATCGCAACCCCAGCCACAGGGAGGCCCCCTCCCCCACCAGGACGGCAACTACAAAAACAGCAGCAAGAATCAGAGAACACGTGCTGGGGAGGCCGGGCAGAGGCGGGGCCCTTGGGCACTGCTGGTGGGAACGGAGCAAAACGGTGCAGCTGCCGAGTCTCATTGCTTCCACATGAAACACAGAGCACCCTGGCCGGGGAGGCTGGGCGGCCGGAGCACGGGCTGGCGCACAAGGGCCTCTGGTTCAATTCCCCATCAGGGCATGTGTCCAGGTTTCGGGCCCTATCCCCAGTGTGGAGCGGGCAGGAGGCCGCCAATCAATGTTCCTTTCACATCAATGCTCCTCTCTCTCCCTCTCCCTTCCCCTTTCTCTAAAGTCAATTTTAAAAATGTTTTTAAAAAGTAAATGAAAATAAATCAGCCTAAAACCGCCACAGGAGAAGCTCAGAAACTCCCACAGCTACAGCTTGGCCTCAGAGACCCGCACCAGGCCTGGCCTCCACCTTTGTCTGTGCTCCTTGGGGCACGGGGTGGACACTGTGTAATTCAGCAAAGCAGGACACTGCGCCACCTACTCTGCCCCCAAAGCACTAAGGACAAATGCAGCCAGGTGCCAGGGGCGCTGCCCCCCACTCACCATGAAGAAGACCCAGGCGGGGACCAGCATGGCCACGGCAGCGGCGCTGGTGTAGAACTGCAACTCGGCCGCCCTGCGGGCACAGCACGCCTAAGCCACCCGGACTCACGTGAGAGCAGCGGAAGCACCGAGCAGAGCAGGCAACAGGCTCCCAGGGTGACGAGGAGGCTCCCGGGGGGGACCAGGAGGCTCCCGGGGTGACGAGGAGGCTCCCAGGGGGGACCAGGAGGGCCTGTGCCTGCTGAGCCCACCCGCATGGCCACGGGAGGGAAAGGTGGCCCGTCCGGGGCCTCCATGGGCCACAGGGCTTTTCTCCCGAGTCCCATGGTCACTGAAAGCCCCCCTGCACCCAAGGGAGAGGCGAGGTCCCGGGCATTCGGCCCGGCCTGGGAAGCTGTGATACTTACGAGAACCTGTACTTGTCCCCACTGAGGAGCTTTTTGGAAAAAACATTCTGTAAACTGGAATGAAGGAGAGAAGAGGTTACCATCGATGCAGGAAGTCAGTAGGGAACCTGAAATGGACAAGGCGTCTGCAGCCTTTTTCACGGTGAGGTTGAGCAACAGGCCTGCGGCCACCCAGCTCTGAGGTGTCAGAGGACCCCACAGCCCCCCTCTGAACCAAGAGTCCCCCTAAATCAGCACCTGCCGCGGGCCGGCACACAGGAAACAGAACAGGAGCTCAGGCTCATGAACTCCCGAAGGCGACACGTGGGAAACCACACACGCACACACACGCACACATATACACACGTGCACGTGCGCGCGCACACACACACACAGCCAAAGAGAAAGCCAGACAGCGTCTGCCGGGAAGCAAGGGGCTGCCCTGGCAAGTGGAGACAGGAACTCTCACGGTTTGGCCTGGAGCCAGAGTGATGGCTCTGCAGACACGGACAGCCCAGATGGAGCCTGGCAGAGCCCTGGGCTCCGCTCCTTCAGGAACCGCTGCTGCAGGACCATCGGGCACGGGGGGGGGGGGGGGGGGGGGGGGGGGGCGGCGGCCAGCGTGGCTCAGTGGTTGAGCATCGACCTATGAACCAGGAGGTCACGGTTCGATTTCTGGTCAGGGCACAGGCCCGGGTTGTGGGCTCCATCCCCAGTGGGGGGCGTGCAGGAGGCAGCCGGTCCATGATTCTCTCTCCTCACTGATATATCTCTCTCTCTCCCTCTCCCTTCCTCTCTGAAATCAATAAAAACATATTGTTAAAGAAAAAAAAAAGTGGAGGGAGGCTCATGGAAAAAGATGCCTCCTGGTACTTAAACAGAAGACTCGGTGTGTGGGTGGGGGGGCATGGAGTCCGCGGAACTGAGGCTGCGGGCGTGCGGTGCAGGAGGCTGTGTAGGTCGGTCGGTCACGCTTCTAGGAGCCGCAGCGGCGGGGCTGCCTCCGGGCGTGGGGAGTGGGATTAAAGTTGTTTATGTCTCAGCTGGATGATCCCAACCTCAAGCCCCACTTCGGTGGTGACAGCGACCCCGACCCCGTGGGCGTGTTTCCTCTTCTCTCAGCAAAAGGACGAAACCGAATGTGATTGTTGGTTCTGAAATGCTGGGCTGCCTGCAGGGCGGACCTCACGACACTGACGCAGCGCGACGCCCAGAGGTCCACGCAGCAGCCAGGACGCAGCTCGGGCCTCGGGGACCCGGCCCCCTGCACCCCACGGCCCTGGTGAGCGTTCTTAAGAGTCAGGCCATGAGCCATCAAGTTCTAGCTTGTTTTTGAGAAAAAGTTACCGCGCTGAGGAACCTCCAGTTTTGCTCTTTAGGAAAAGGCAGCAGCAGACGTACTGGCTGAGCTGAGTGGCGGAAGGAACTGAGCTGCTCTGGACTGAAACAACCGTCCCCCAGCTGGGGCAAGTGGGCAGTGCGCCCTGGGCACGCGGTGTCCCCACAATCCCCGGACTCACCAGTCCATGATGTTGGTGGACAGCGCGGCTGAGAACCCCAGGATGTTGAAGCTCATCTCGGTGGCTGTGCACAGTGCCAGGCCTCCCATGACAGGGATGAGGGAGAGGTTGACCAGCAACCCTGCAGAGGAGGACAGGGGGGCCCGGCTGTGACCCGGGAGCCCGGCTGTGACCCGGCTGTGACCCGGCTGTGACCCAGGAGCCCGGCTGTGACCATGTGTGGCCCTGCCGCTCCTCTGGGAGCCACGCTGCCTCCTGCCTTCCCAGCGCCTTTGTCTCTGTGCTGGAGGGAGGCCGAGGCACAAGAGCCCACCCCCGTCAATGCCAGGCCCCCCGATGGTGGCCTCTGTCGGGCCTGGGTGACCCCCAGGCTGCACAAGTTCTCACCAGCAAACAGGAGAGGAAGGGAGATGGGCTCAGGGATTCTATTACAAGAAGAAACCGGGGGTGGGAAGACTGAGTGCCTGAGCCCACGCGGTTCATTCCTTTCATTCGGCACCGAAACCCCAGGCGTGAGAGGCAGACAGCCCTCTTGTACGGGGAGGCCTCGCCCACTAGAAGGGACCCTCGGCACCGCTGCTCTGAAGTCTGAGGCAGCATGGACGCGGGTGTGAGCCCTTCCCGTTCAGCAAAGAGGAAGCAGCGCAGCCTCCGACCACGGCCACGTCCTCGTCCCAGGGCCCTGCTGCCCTGAGCGCAGCTCCAGTGCCCCAGGCAGCGGGTGCCCAGCTCTCGCCTTGGGCTCTGCCCGGGGATTCTGCTGCTGAGGACAATGCGTGTGAAACCTGAGGGCCTGGACGTGCGCCTGCCCCTCCTCAGGAAGGACCTGTCCTGCGTGCGTTTTGCTAAATTCCATCAGGACTTTCTCCCCTTTCTCAGGAAGTCAGCTGGCCTGCGGGGGGTGGGGGTGGGGGTGGGGCGCTCACCCGTGTACTCCCCCAGGATCATCCGGGACATGATCACCGTGAAGATGGGGGCGGAGCTCTTCACCGTCTCGGCAAACGACACGGCCACGTTCTTCAGGCTGACCAGGCCCAACACCACGGTGGCGAACCTAGAGAAGCCAGAGAGGGTCGGGATGGGCCCGCCCACGGGGGCGCTCACCTACCTCTGCCAGGAGTCAGACAGGGGCTGTGCCTGACCCCCTGCAAGCTGTGCTGGGTCTGGCCCTCAGGAAATGGCCACCCGCCTGCAAGGGCCACTGTGGCCAGAGCGTGGGCCCCGAAGGAGGCGCGTCACCCTGAAACCGTTACTAAGCTAGTTTCGTGGCCGCTCCAGAAAGGACCCATCGGGCACAAGATGCACAAAGCCAGGTGCACATGCCGCCCTAAAACGTAGACTTCAGAGAGTGCATTGCGCTCGCCTCCGACCACCAACGGTGATGTCACTCAGCCGCTGCGCACTCTTGGTGACGGGAAAGGCATTTTATTTTATTTTATTTTATTTTATTTTATTTATTTTATTTATTTTATTTATTTTATTTATTTTATTTTATTTTATTTTATTTTATTTTATTTTATTATTTTATTTTATTTTATTTTATTTTATTATTTTATTTTATTTTATTTTATTTTATTTTATTTTATTTTATTTTATTTTATTTTATTTTATTTTGTTAAATCTGTTGTTAGTGATTTTTTTAGAGTGAGAGGAAGGGAGAGGGATAGAAAGATAGAAACATCAATGAGAGAGTAACATCTTTGATCAGCTGCCTCCTGCACACTCCCCACAGGGGATGGAGCCCGTAATCCGGGCATGTGTCTTGACCGGGAATCCAATAGAAGGCTTCTTGGTTCCTGGGTTGATCTTAACTGCTGAGCTACACCGGCTGGATGGTAAAGGCATTTTATTTTATTTTATTTTATTACTAGAGGCCCAGTGCACAAAATTCATGCGGGGGGGGGGGGTGTCCCTCAGCCCGTCCTGCACCCTCTCACAATCCAGGACCACTGGCTCTTAACTGCTCACCTGCCTGCCAGCCTGATCACCCCTAACCCCTCTGCCTGCCAGCCTGACTGCTCCTACCTGCTTGCCTGCCTGCTGGATCGCCCCTAACCCCTCTGCCTGCCTGCTTGATCGCCCCTAACCCCCCTGCCTGCCAGCCTGATCGCCCCTAACCCCTCTGCCTGCCAGCCTGACTGCTCCTACCTGCTTGCCTGCCTGCTGGATCGCCCCTAACCCCTCTGCCTGCCTGCTTGATCGCCCCTAACCCCCCTGCCTGCCAGCCTGATCGCCCCTAACCCCTCTGCCTGCCAGCCTGACTGCTCCTACCTGCTTGCCTGCCTGCTGGATCGCCCCTAACCCCTCTGCCTGCCAGCCTGATCGCCCCTAACCCCTCTGCCTGCCAGCCTGACTGCTCCTACCTGCTTGCCTGCCTGCTGGATCGCCCCTAACCCCTCTGCCTGCCAGCCTGATCGCCCCTAACCCCTCTGCCTGCCAGCCTGACTGCTCCTACCTGCTTGCCTGCCTGCTGGATCGCCCCTAACCCCTCTGCCTGCCAGCCTGATCGCCCCTAACCCCTCTGCCTGCCAGCCTGACTGCTCCTACCTGCTTGCCTGCCTGCTGGATCGCCCCTAACCCCTCTGCCTGCCTGCTTGATCGCCCCTAACCCCCCTGCCTGCCAGCCTGATCGCCCCTAACCCCTCTGCCTGCCAGCCTGACTGCTCCTACCTGCTTGCCTGCCTGCTGGATCGCCCCTAACCCCTCTGCCTGCCAGCCTGATCGCCCCTAACCCCTCTGCCTGCCAGCCTGACTGCTCCTACCTGCTTGCCTGCCTGCTGGATCGCCCCTAACCCCTCTGCCTGCCTGCTTGATCGCCCCTAACCCCTCTGTCTGCCAGCCTGATCGCCCCTAACCCCTCTGCCTGCCAGCCTGACTGCTCCTACCTGCTTGCCTGCCTGCTGGATCGCCCCTAACCCCTCTGCCTGCCAGCCTGATCGCCCCTAACCCCTCTGCCTGCCAGCCTGACTGCTCCTACCTGCTTGCCTGCCTGCTGGATCGCCCCTAACCCCTCTGCCTGCCAGCCTGATCGCCCCTAACCCCTCTGCCTGCCAGCCTGACTGCTCCTACCTGCTTGCCTGCCTGCTGGATCGCCCCTAACCCCTCTGCCTTGGCCCCTGCCTTGGTGGCTTCACCTGGAAGGTCATCCGGCTGTCGGGTCTAATTAGCATATTACGCTTTTATTATTATAGATTTTTTTTAAATTTATTTATTGATTTATTGATTTATTTATTTAGAACCCTCAGCTGAGGATATTTTAAAAGAAGAAACCGGGGGTGGGAAGACTGAGTGCCTGAGCCCACGCGGTTCATTCCTTTCACTCGGCACCGAAACCCCGGGCGTGAGAGGCAGACAGCCCTCTTGTACGGGGAGGCCTCGCCCACTAGAAGGGACCCTCGGCACCGCTGTGACCCGGCTGTGACCCAGGAGCCTGGCTGTGACCCGGCTGTGACCCGGCTGTGACCTGGCTGTGACCCAGGAGCCTGGCTGTGACCCGGCTGTGACCCAGGAGCCTGGCTGTGACCCGGCTGTGACCCGGCTGTGACCCGGCTGTGACCCGGCTGTGACCCAGGAGCCTGGCTGTGACCCGGCTGTGACCTGGCTGTGACCCAGGAGCCTGGCTGTGACCCGGCTGTGACCTGGCTGTGACCCAGGAGCCTGGCTGTGACCCGGCTGTGACCTGGCTGTGACCCAGGAGCCTGGCTGTGACCCGGCTGTGACCCAGGAGCCTGGCTGTGACCCGGCTGTGACCCAGGAGCCCGGCTGTGACCATGTGTGGCCCTGCCGCTCCTCTGGGAGCCACGCTGCTTCCTGCCTTCCCAGCGCCTTTGTCTCTGTGCTGGAGGGAGGCCGAGGCACAAGAGCCCACGCCTCTCAATGCCAGGCCCCCCGATGGTGGCCTCGGCCGGGCCTGGGGGACCCCCAGGCTGCACAAGTTCAGAGATTGTTACAGAGATTGGATGAGAGAGGGGAAAACAGAGAGAAACACTGATGTGTGAGAAACACGTCAATCTGTTGCCTCCTGCATGTGCCCCGACCAGCGCCCGGGCCGGAGAGGAGCCTGCAGCAGAGGTACGTGCCCTTGACTGGAACTGAACCTGGGAGCCTTTGGTCCACAGGCCGACGCTCTATCCACTGAGCAAAACCGGCCAAGGAGGGAAAGGCCTTTTAAATAACGTGCAAAAGAACCCAGTCCCGCACTCAAATGCCGGCCCTCACCTCATGAGGCCCACGAAGAGCATGGTCATGATGAAGTTGGGCGGGTAGGCAAGCCGGACTTTGTGCTGGTACAGGCAGCAGGGGACGAAGATCTTCAGGCAGCCGATGCACGTGGTGGACAGCATCTGCACTGCGCCTGCGGGACGGGGTGCCAGTGATGAGCTGTAGCCGTGGTCGCGCCCACCTCTGTGCCCCATCCAGCTCTGTGCCCTCACCCAGGTCCATGCCCTGCCCACCTGCCTGTGACCCTGGGGCCCAGCTCTGTTCCCCGCCCACCTCTGTGGCCCCACCCTCACCCAGCTCTGTGGCCCCCCCCCCCAAGTGGCCCTGCCCTCACCCAGCTCTGTGCCCCGCCCACCTCCCCGTGGCACCGCCCCCACCCGGCAAGGTGCCCTGCCCACCTGCCCATGGCCCCCACCCACACCCAGCTGTGCCCCGCCCCCCTGCCCGAGGCCCCACTCTCACCAGCTCTGTGCCCTGCCCACCTGCCCAAGGCCACGCCCTCACCAGCTCGGTTCCCGCCCCCCTGCCCGAGGCCCCGCCCTCACCCAGCTGTGCCCGCCTCCACCCAGCTCTGTGCCCCGCCCCCCTGCCCGAGGCCCCGCCCTCACCCAGCTCTTGCCCCGCCCCCCTGCCCGAGGCCCCGCCCTCACCCAGCTGTGCCCGCCTCCACCCAGCTCTTGCCCCGCCCCCCTGCCCGAGGCCCCGCCCTCACCCAGCTGTGCCCGCCTCCACCCAGCTCTTGCCCCGCCCCCCTGCCCGAGGCCCCGCCCTCACCCAGCATGCTGGGCTCGCCCTCCAGCAGCGAGAGGATGTACTTGTTGAGGAAGAGGGTGCAGAAGCTGAGGAAGAACCAGAGCGTGAGGTAGAGCAGCGCACGCGAGCTCCACACGCCCAGGTCCGCCTCGATGACCGTGGTCTCGGTGATGGTGACGGCCAGCACGCTCTCCTCGGCGCCCTCGCTCCTGGCGAAGACGATCTTCTCACTTCGGGGGCCGAACAGGGAGCCCCAGCCGAGGGCCGGCTTCCCCCGGGGCGTCTCCTCGGGGCCCGGGGCCAGCTCCGCGGGCTCTGCCGGCGCCGACATGGTGTCCCCGCGGGCGCGTCCTCAGGTGGCAGGACCGACGCGGTGCCCCGTGGTCCGCAGCCGCCTGGTCAGGAAAGCGGACACGTGACTCCGGTGGCAGGTCCCGTCCCCGAAAGCTTGCATCTCACTCACACCTGCAAGCGGGGTCCCCTCATTTCCCGATCGTGTCCCCCAAACTTCCAACCGCCCGGCCCCGCCTCAAGGCCCAGGCCCGGTTCCGAGGCCCAGCTGCTCAGGCAGGACCCGGAGTCTCCCTGCCTGTGGCTCCGGGACCCCTGGCCCTGGAGACCCGCCCGCCCGGCTGCTGCTCTGCGGCTGCCCAGCTGGGCCCAGACCTGGCGGGGGGGGGGGGGGGGGGGCGAGAGGGGCGCATGGGGGGCGAGAGGGGCGCACGGGCCGTTCCTCCCCCCACAGAACAAGCTGCAGTCACACTCGCGTTCCCCGGTCACGCTCGTTGTCAGAAACGGCCTCCAGGACCCGCGCCCGCGTCCTGGGGCCACAGGCCCGGCATCCATGCTGCGTGTTTAGGCCCAGCTGCTGGTGGGGGCCCACCTCCCTCACTGCAGGGCGGGGCGAGGCGGGCAGAGGGCGGGTGGCCGCACTTCCGGCAGATCTGACCAGCCTGCGCCCCACTCCCCGTGCGCCCCACTCCCCGTGCGCCCCGCTCCCCGTGCGCCCCGCTCCCCGTGCGCCCCGCTCCCCGCAGCTGTGGGCGGCCAGAGCTGACCTCAGTGAGCGCCTCCCAGACCAGGGCCCACAGCCATGGGGCTGCATGTCCCTCCTCCACGCCCGGGCGCCATGGGGTTCCCGCGGGGCCGAGTCACACCGGACCGGGGGACCTGGACCAACATTCCCATCCCCCGCGACCAGCTCAGGACCCTGCGAGCCCAGGACGGCCCTCACCCCCCGGCCACACTCTTTCCATGACCCTGGACCACGAACAGCCCACCTGCCTCTGCCTGTGGCCCCCCGCTTCTCGTCCAAGTGCCTCTGGAGGCACAGTGAGGGCTCAGAACATCTTACAAGTGAAAGTGGACGCTGGTCCTCACTCCGTCCCAAGACAGGCCTCCCGCTGCCGCTGCGTTTTCTTCGGAATAAACCGCCTGGGGCGCGGGGACCCTCACCCAAATCAGGAGGAAGCAGCACAGTCCCTGCCCGCTGTGACGGTGCCCAGCAGGAGACCAGAGGAACCTTCTGTGGGTCATTAAACAGCCCCGGGCTCCTGCCAACCTCCGGCCCCACGCAGAGAAGTGAAGAAACCAGACAAGGAAGCAGCGGGGGTGGGGGGGTGGGGGGGCATCTGCAGGTGCAGCCCCTGGAGACACCAAAGTAAAAAACAGCCAGAAAGGCCCCTGGGAATCACCCACAGGCAACAGAGGCCTGGCTTGGGGGGCGGGCGGCTTTGGGCCACACCCCGCAGAGCTGAGAGCCCCACCCTGCCGGCCACCCAGCCGCCACCCCACCTGCCAAGGGCTGGCACAGGTCGGGCCTGAGGGCCTCTGCAGATGCGGATCGGAGATCCCAGATCACCCCTGAGGGGCCCAGCGGGGAGGAGCTGCCAGGAGCTCAGGGAGGGACGGAGCCGAGGACGCAGGCCCCTCTGCTCTGAGGAGGACAGGACAGGCGGGCAGAGGCCACAGAACCTCCCGGGACGGAGGCGGGGCGTCCAGAGGTGAAACAACTGCTGGAACAAACCTGGGTGCTCTGGGCAGACCACCTCCCACGGACGTTCCCAAGTTACAGGGAGCACGGCTCTGCCCTTGAGAAAGTGGCCGACACTGTGACCAGCGGTCACAGCAGAAGTCACCAGCAGGAGACAGGCCTGGCGCCGCCCGGATCTGACGCCATCGCCAGAAAACACCAGACAAACCTGCAGTAGGCTGGTGCCCGAGCCCAGAGTTGGAGGGGAGGGGGGGGGGCACAGCCTCAGCCCACGCGGGTCCCTGGCAGGGCCAGCGGCCGGGACAGGACCCGAGTGGGGCACCAAGGCAACACTGTGAGCACAGCTGGGAAACGTGAGCTTTGGAATCACACGTCCTGAGTGAATAAACGAAAGAAACCCCCGTGGAGACACCTCGAGGAAACAGCGGGACATCAGAGGGGAAGTCCCGATGCCCCGTGAGAACCCTCCCCCAGGTCTGTAGCATCAGGGTCCTGGGTTCGATTCCGGTCAGGGATGCGTGCAGGAGGCAACCAATCAATGTGTTTCTCTCACATCGAAGTTTCTGTCTGTCCCTTTCTCTTCGACTCTCTCTAAAAATCAATGGGAAAATAGCCTCAGGTGAGGATTAAAAAAAGAATCACCAACAGATGCTGAAACTAACAGATAGAAATCCTATATAATAAAAGGCTAATATGCAAATTGTCTGGTCGAACTCCTGAGTTCAACTGGGAATTCAACCAGGGGGCAGGCCTGGCTCTCCAACTGCCCTCGACCCTCCCTCCCCCGCCTCCCACCCCCAGTCAGCATCCCACCCCCATCGGGCAGGCTAGCCGGACCCCACCCATGCACGAATTCATGCACCGGGCGTCTAGTTGAGAAATAACTGGATGTTTAGTCTCAAAGTACAACCCTACCAGGTGGACACAGATTACAAAGGGGAGAGAGATAAGGGACACTTCCCTCAAGGGGAGGCGGGGAGGAGGGCCTGCCCCTGGAGAACTGGGACTGCCACTTCCTGGTCATGGGACACACTGGTGCAGACAGACAGACGGAGCAGCACACGGGCCCTGGCGGTGGCTCAGTCGGCTGGAGTGTCGTTCTGCACACCAGAGGGCCGGTTCCTTCCCCGTCGGGGCACATGCCCAGGTGCGGGTTCCACAGCCTCTGATGCTCAGAGGGTTGTCACCCAGCCCAGGAAAAAAAAATTGGACCCTTACACCCACGGGAGGCGCAAGAACAGCCTGGCGGCAGCGCTCCTGTGCAAGGCGCCAACGTGTGACACTGTGACCAGGGAGAAGGCGCGGGAACGTCTTTCTGGTCCCAGGGCAGGGACACCTTAGTCCCAACCCCAGAGGCACCGCCCATACAGGAAGGCAGGAAGGAACAGCCACCGGCTACGTTAAGACCTTCTGTTTCATCAGAAAACATCACAAAGTCACAAGTGCCAGCCTGGGAGAAGGATTCACACACAGAACGTAGAAACAACTCCGACAACTCCACAGGAAATACGCAGAAACGGGTGTCACGGGAGAGGATTTCTAAGTGGCCAATAAGCACAAGAAAGGGCGTGTGGCCGGGCGGCTCAGTGGTCGAGCATCAACCCAGGAACCAAGAGGTCAGGGTTCAATTCCCGGTCAGGGCACATGTCCAGGTTGCCAGCTTGATCCCCAGTAGGGAGCGTGCAGGAGGCAGCCAATAGATGATTCTCTCTCATCATTGATGTATCTCTCTCTCCCTCTCCCTTTCTCTCTGAAATCAATAAAAACATATTTAATAAGAAAAGAAAAGAAAGAAAGGGTGTGTAGCCCTGGCCAGGTAGCTCAGTTGGTTAGAGCATCGGACCTTTAAGCCATGGTTGCAGGTTCAATCCTGGTCAGGGCACATACAAGAAGCAACCAATGAATTAATAAATGGAACAACAGATCAATGTTTCTCTCTCCCCCTCCTCTTTCTCTAACCAATAAATTAAAAAGAAATCATATATTCGAGGTTGGCATAAGGTAAACATTTGCAGACCCTTACAAACCAGCAGTTCCAGAGAGAACCCCACGGACAGACCTGCAGCTGGCCCCGCAGACACGGGCTCCACACTTGGGAACCCAGCTGCCTGCCGGGGGGAGAGCGAGCGCGGACACGGTGGGGGCTTTCACCAACGCAACACGGGCCAGCAGTAAGAAGGAATAACTAAGCAGCACACAGGAACACACACACACACACACACACAGCATGGATGATGGGGGACCAGTGAAATCAGGGTTATCGTCGGTAATTAGCAGAATGAAACGGGGCCTCTGGGATGCAGCGAAGACCCTCAGAGGCTGACCCTCAGAGGCTGTGCTGGGCATCGCACGGGGAAGTCGGAAGGCCGGGGTCAGGGCCCTACTCACCCAGGTCCTGGCCGCGGTCACGGCTGCCTCCCGGCTCCTGCTCATGTGTTCCCACCGCCAGCTCTCTCAGCCCACGTGACTCGTGTTTCTTTCAGGGAGAAACGGTTCCCGCCCTGCAAGACGGAAGCAACCTGATCTGACAAGGAAAAAGGACTTTAAGATCCAACAGCCGCCCTAGCCAGTTTGGCTCAGTGGACAGAGCGTCGGCCTGCGGACTGAAGGGTCCCGGGTTCGATTCCCGGTCAAGGGCTCATGCTCGGGTTGTGGGCTTGATCCCCAGTAGGGGGCGTACAGGAGGCAGCCGATCAATGATTCCCTCTCATCGTTGATGTTTCTAGCTCTCTCTCCCTCTCTGAAATCAATAGAAAAAAATTTTTTTTTAAATATATTTTACTGATTTTTTTTTTTTTTTTTTACAGAAAGGGAGAGAGATAGAGAGTTAGAAACATCGATGAGAGAAAAACATCAATCAGCTGCCTCCTGCACACCCCCCACCAGGGATATGCCCGCAACCCAGGTACATGCCCTTGACCGGAATCGAACCTGGGACCCTTGAGTCCGCAGGCCGACGCTCTATCCACTGAGCCAAACCGGTTTTGGCAGAAAAATATTTTTAAAAAACCAGCCGGACTCACCTGAGCCTGCCTGGAATCCTGGCCACCCCACCCAGGTCCCGGGGGACAAAGGTCCGAATTCCCGTCCTCTCGGGTGACAGCACAAACAACCAGGACTGAACACAGGCCTGTCTGCCCAGCACGGAGCCGGGGGCTGAGAAGAGGCCTTGCTAGGCCAGGGCGGGCTCCCCTTTCTCCCCCTGGACCCACCCTCAGAAGGTGCCCATGGAGGACTGGAAGGGGACACTGTCTTCATGACGCTCAGGTGCTGCACCGAATGAGGTGGCCTCGGGGGCCAGCCTCCACGGAGCCTGCAGGGAGGGGCTCGAGACCGCTGGAAGGGCCTGGGCTCGAACCCGAACCCGGAGACAGCGCCTCGTGCTGCGGTCCCACCCTGGCACGCTCACCGCCGAAGGGAAGTTCGACAGGAGCCGGCCAACCTTTTCCCATCGAATTTCCCAAACCCCTGCCTCCGGCGAGGGCCAGGGGCCCGAAGGCTCCCTGTTCTAGAACAAACGACTCAAGTCCTCAACTCAGACGATGTTACAGAATTGTATCCCCGAGACCTACTTACCTTTATTCACCAATGTCACCCCCATAAATCCAGTTAAACAAAGAACCCACAAGATGTCCTCTGGGCACCAACCACCCGCGGACTTTACCCACCGCCTCGCAGCAAGTCCACCTCTGGGAACTCATCCCAAACGAACTGCCCAACAAAGGCCCCGCCTGGACATATAAGCCACTAAACAGCTTTGTGTTCAAGGCCGAAACGCTGGACACGACCCGACCCAAGCGTCCAGTAAGGCACCTGCCACAAACCCTGGCAGGCGCTGGGCACACGGCGGCCCACGGTTCTGACAAAGTCCCCTGTCACAGGTGCAGGGCACAAGACGCTCCGATGTAAAAGGTACAGATGGTTCCGGACAGGCGCCGGTCACCAACTCTGTGCCGTCAGGGAGGTGGAATCGAAATCTGTTAACATTCTCCCCACTTCCCTCCCTTTTCTGAGGTCTGGATTGAAAACGCGGGTGTTGAAAGTAAAAGCCTTTCCTTTCCCTCTGAACGGCCCGCTTCGTGCGGTCGGATGCGGTTCCGTTCTGCAGGTTTTAGTATTTCCAGGAAAGTAACATGCGCTCCATCTAAAAAACCTCAAACGTTTGAAAACCCGCTGGACAAAGACTCCGCCCCTAAATGGAAGGGTTTTTATTTCCCAGCGCAGCGCTCAGCGCGGCCCAGAGCCGCCGGGCGCCAGCACAGAGGACGTGGGGGGCGGGGGTCACCCGCGAACCCCCAAAGTCCAAACCCAGTTGCAGTCACTGCCGGGCTCTGGGCCTGCCCGGCAGGTACCCGAACAAAGCCGCCGTCGCTGGAACCTGCACCAGCAGGATGTCAACCATTATGTTTCATTTTCTAAGATTCTGGGCAAGAAAAAAAAAATCGCCGAATGCCATGGATTCGTGGGCGATCGTGCCCTTCGGCCCGGAGCGGAGGCGGAGGCGGCACCTGCCCCGGGGCCCGGCTTTGAAACGCAATCACCCCGAGACCGCGACCGCCGCTCCCGTCCGGCCCCACCTGTGTCCGCCGCCGGCCTCGCAGCGGGACCCGAGGCGGCCACCACCCGACCCCGCGGGGCGCCTTCCGCGTCTGGAGCCGGGGCCCCGCACCCACGGGGCCGAGCTCGGGTGGGGCCAACGGTGGGCCGGCTCCTCCGCGAGGGGAAGGTATGCAAAATAGGGCGGAGCGGGGCGTGATGGAGGGGCGGGGCCGGCCCTGGGCGGCCGCAGGTCAGGGCCCCGGGAGGGGTCAGCCCCGGGCGAGAGGGGCGCGGGGGTAGGACGGGGCCCGGCGCTGGGGGACCGCGGGCGGCGGGCGCACCTGAGGCCGCGTGTTACTCGGCGTCCCCGCGCCCATCACACCCACCCGGAGACACGCCCCGCGCAGGACGCGGCCCGGGAGCTCCTAGGCCGGGGCCGGGCAGGACCCGGGCGGCGCCATCACCCGGAAAGCGCGCCGATCCCGCCCCCGGCGGGAAGGCAGCCCCGCCCTCGGCGGGAGGAGGAGGCTCCGCTGCGGGATCCGGGGACCCCGCCACCCACCGGCCGGAGGGGCGCGATGACAGCCCGCGGGGGTCGCTGTTCGGCACAGGGAGCCCGCCCGGCCCGTGGACCCTCGCACCCGGCAGCGGGGCCGGAGGCGGGTCGCCGGGTGCGGGGAGGCCGTGGGGGGCGTGGCCCGCGAGGACTGCGTCACGCGGCTGCGCGGCGTCGGGGCCCGAGGGGCGCGCGGCATTTAGGGTGCGGCCGCCGGACGAGGGGCGTGCGGGTCGGGGCGCCTCCCGCGGGCGCGAGAAGGCCCGGAGCAGACCCGGCCCGAGCGGGCCCCGGGCGGCCGCGTCCTCGGGAGGGAGGGCGGCGGGGCGGGCCTGGTGGGCGGGCCCTCTGTGGCCGAGTGCTCTTCCGGACGGAAGTGACGCGCCGGAAGCGCCCGGAAGTGGGCGGGTCACAGCCCGGGCCGCACCCCCGGCCCAGGCGGGTCCACCCACAGACCGAGGCGGCCGCCCCCCGGCTCGAGGAGGCGACGTCCGCCCTGTCGGTCTCTCTCCGGGTAACCCGCGGCCGGGACAGACCGGGACGGGAAGCCGCGGGGGTAAATCACGTGTTAACTCGGGGGGAGCTGATGGGAGCCGCAGCGGCGCTGCGCCTGGGACGCGCCAGGGAGAAGGCGGGCGGCGGGCGGGCGCCGCACCGAGGAAGCAGGAGGAGCTGGTGTCCGCCGCCACCGCCTCCGCCGGGCGGGCTGCTGTCCTGCGGGAGCCCCGGGCCCGGAAGGCGAGGCCCTTGGCGGAGGCGGGACCCTGTGGGCAAGGCCCAGGCCCGCCGCTGGGTCTGACCTGCTCTCGGTGGGTGCGCCTCTGCGTCCCCGGGGCCTTGGATGCCGCCAGCAGCCGCCGGTGGTGCTTGTGCAAACGGACCAGACCGTCTGCCGCCCACAGGCGCTGGGCCAGCGGGCCGCCGACCTCCCGGCTGCAGTGGCGCCGCCCCGGAACTGCCCGATGCACAGGGTCTTCCACCCAAGGGCAACCCGCCTGTGATCGAACAGGCAGAGCGGTGGGCACTGGCGCGGCCGTGTGGTTGATGCCGGCTCCGGCCGGCCCCGTGCCCTGTCCCAGCCTGTAGCGCCCACTTTGATCCTGGCAAAGCCTTGCCCCACCTCACCCAGGGCGGGGGGGGGGGGGGAGCAGGGGAGAGAGGCAGGTGCTCCAAGTTCCAGCTCCGGCCCCAACCCCACAGGCCGGAGGATCGAGGGGCCCTGGGGACTATGAAGGCCCCTCCATTCACCTCGGAGCAGGTCCCATCTGTAGGCTCTGCACCCCTACTGCTCCTCCCGGTGGGTCAGGCGGCCACACCCACAGCCCCTGCCCCTGCCACCTGCCACCCTCAGAGGCATGGCCCACAGAGCACCTGGGACAGCTCTCAGCGCGTCTCTCCCATCTCAGGAGGACCCAGCCCACCTCCCTCAGTCTTAGAACCAAATAAAGTCACTCAACCCAACTTTTTAAAGAAGTCTGTTTATTGAAAGGATCTGAAAATAGTAATAAGGCTCTCAACATTTAATAAACTTTCAGGATATTAACAATATGAAACATTAAGAATTTACTTCAAAAACCCATAGCTTTCTAGACCATCCCAACATCATCTGCTTCAGGGCGGGCGGGACTTGGGTTCCGCTCCCTCAGCCCGCAGTCCAGCCCCCAGGTGGGTGGGCAGGTGGCAGGGAGCCCACCTGTGTCCAACACCAGGCCGAGTGCCAAGCACCACTGAGGTCCAGGTGCTGAGGTTCCCCAGCAGGGACAAGAGTGGGCACAGCACTCCATCAACACACGTCCACACAGGCACGGAGGGCAGAGACCAGCCATCGAGGCCTGGCTGAGGGTGGCCACGCATGTGGCTCTGGACACCTCATTAGCACAAGATTGGGGCGTGTGTCCCTGCAGGGGGAAGACCCTGCCCGCCATCGCCCCGACATGAGGCCCAGGGTGGTGCTGAGCCCTTCCTTCTCCCTGTGCAGCTGATGGAAACCCACAGAGAGAAATCCGCTACTCGAAAGCCCCACTGAGGGTGTCTGCTGGGCCAGGGGGCCAAGGCCACATGCAAACAGCCTCGGCTCCAACCATGGACTCCACCCAGGCTCTGTCCCGCATGGCAAAAATGCACATGCTTGCACACGCCCCAGCCAGCGGGCCGAGGGAGGGCGATGCTGGAATGATGGGGTGTCCTTGAACCCCAGGGCCCGCATGAAGCATCAGCACTCCCTTCCGCTCGCACATGCTTGTCCCAATCTTCTCGTGACAACTGGGAAGGCCCAAGGCTCCTAAGTGAGTCACCGCACGGCGGCCATGGCGGACTAGACAGAGGTCCCACCCGCGTCACAGAGCACACAGGACGAGGCTCCGCGTTAGGGCAGGGCGCGCCCTCCTCCGGGTCCTCCTTGCGCACCAGCATGAGAGTCTGAGACTGCCCGCTGGGCGGGGCGACTCACTCGTGAGGAATGTGGGCCAACCTCACCTGCCGCCACCAGGCTCCCGGTGACACTCTGGCCCCGTCACACCAAAGCAGGGGTAGGAGGCGGGCCATCCGCCCACCAGCCTGTGACCACCTCCCAAGTGCTCCTCACAGGTGCTCCCCTGGGGGCTCGGGGAGGTGCTGTGAGACACTTATTTCAACTCCAAGGACAGGTCCCTCCACTCTGCTCCCTCTCAGTATGACAGGCTGACCCGTGGTTTCCTGACAGAGAACACGAGAGCCCGTGCAGCTCGTGGGATGGGCCTGACTGTCGCTTACGTGGCTTATATAGAAATGCAAAAAAGGTCAGATTTAAAATGCTAAAAACGGCTGATCCGGCTGACAAAGGCAGATTCTAGGGCTCCTTCTCTGGCTACAGACAGAAGACGTGGCACCTGATGCCTGCAGGGCATGTGACGGGACCACACGTGCAGCGCAGCGGGCGAGGCTAGCTCTCCTCCTCCCCCTCCTCGTCCGTGAAGTGAGCCTGCCGCTTGCGCACGTTCCAGTGCAGACACTGGGCCAGGCTCTCGAACCAGTCGCTCACAGGGTCTCGCACGCAGATGGAGGGGAGCGGGTAGCACGAGGTAGTGATGCTGATGCTGGGGATGCAATGCCGCACGTGAGCCCAGGCCTGCCGCCCCGCCCAGCAGGACCCTCCCTCAGGCAGGGCCCATCCTCCTCAGTGAGGAGCCTTTTCAGACCTGGCTCTCCAGCCTGGCCAGGGGTCCCAGGGGTACTGTTGTATGTCCTGGGACAGAGCCATGAACCCACTCAGCCCACCCCAGTCCCTGGAGGGGACCCCAAGGCGGGCAGGATGAAGAGACAGAGCAGACAGGTGCAGCCACGAGCAGCTCGCTCTCTCCCCACCAGGGAGAGCAGACCACAGGGCCACACAGCAACCTGCGTGTGTGACAGGCTGCCGACAGGCATGGGTCCCCATGTGACAATGTGAGACAAGGACCCCGTGGCAGGGGGAGGAGGGCAGCAGGCGGGCACACCCCTCACTCCTCACCCTGCTCCGGCCCAGCGCCCACCCACCTGTCTCCATGGCGGATCTCCTGCCTCTTCCGTCCATCGAAGGACACCCACACGGTGTTCCTTGCTTCCGGTGACAACATGATCTGCAGGTATCAAGCAGGCAGGTGTGACATCTCAGAACCCTGCCTTGGAGGGCGGCACTGACTGGGGCCCAGCGCAGCCCTGGCCCCTCCACACCCCCCAACCTCCCGGCAGTGCGAGCCCAATGGGCAGAGATGAGGATGGGAGGGGGGGCCCCTGCGGGGGAACCGGGGCACGAGGCCGCTGGCAGAAGCAGAGGTCAGCACCACGAGCCCCTGGCGACAACTCGGCCTGGAAAGGGTGGCGAGGGCTCTAACCTTGAGCTCGACTCCTGCAGGGACCACGATGGGCCGGAATGACAGGGAGTGGGGACAGATGGGAGTGATCATGATGGCCGGCACATTGGGGTGGATCATGGAGGCCCCGGCCGCCACTGCGTACGCCGTGCTGCCCGTTGGGGTGGAGACGATCACGCCTGAGGAGCAGTTACAGGCTCACTCTCCATGCGCCCCCTGCCCGCGTCAAGCCCCAAGGCGCCCACGACAGACCCGATGCCCACGTAGGCTCACTCTCCATGCGCCCCCTGCCCACATGGAGTCCCAGGGCGCCCACGACAGACCCAATGCCCACGTACCATCACCCTGCACCGTGGTGATGAGGTGCCCGTCCAGGTAGACGTCCACGTTGGACAGGTAGGAGGAGGGGCCTCTGTCAATCACCACTTCGTTTAAGACCTGGGGGAGGGGAGGCCAGCGCACACTGAGGGGCGGAGCAGCCTCCAGGTGGGTCTGTGCCGCAGGCGCCTGTGCTGCTCCTGGGCTGTCTGGAAGGTCCTGAGGGGGGACTCCCCTTGGGGTCCAACCAAAGTCCCCCGCCTTCCCCCCCGAGGCCAGGAGACAGCTGAGGGCGCCCACTGACCTGGTGCTGCATGAC